TGGCGGTGTAACCGCGAGAGAGAGTGGTAATGGCGATGTAACCGCGAGAAAGATATAATGGCGGTGTAACCGCGAGAGAGAGTGGTAATGGCGATATAACCACGGGAAAGATATAATGGCGGTGTAACCGCGAGAGAGGGTGGTAATGGCGGTGTAACCGCGAGGAAGATATATTGGTGGTGTAACCGCGAGAAAGTGGTAATGGCGATGTAACCGCGAGGAAGATATAATGGCGGTGTAACAGCGAGAGAGTGGTAATGGCGGTGTAATCGCGAGAAAGTGGCAATGATGGTGTAACCACGAGAAAGAGAGATCCTGTAAGAGAATATAGATAAAATGCATATATCTGCACAAACCTTTTTCTAAACTTCTAGTTTGGAATGTAAGTTGTTTGTATGAGTTTTGTACACTCACTAGATCTTTTGGTCTAACGTACTGTTGTTGGACTAATTTGTTTTGCAGTTCACCATTCATCGTAAGACAAAGGCAAGGAAAAAACTTAAAACAATGTTATATAGTTGTATATTTGTAATAAACAAAGTTTTTGTTAACCCATATTTACTCATGTTATGTAATCAATATAACGTTGGGTAGTGTTAGATGGTTATCTGGGATTATGTTAATTATTCATATTGGTTTAGAATGTGGGTTGTTACATATAGTATATAGAAAGGTTAAAGTTTTGTATAGTGGTAAATTTTGGTGGATGTCTGCTTCGAATATGACCATGACTTATTGTCTATACTATATTATAAAGGATTTGACAAAAACTCTTAAAAACCATTTTTGATGCATTAAGTATTGTTTATTAATGCATATTACTTAAAATTCAAGATAATTAAATCGAGATGTATCTCACTGTATTGCATGAGTACCATTCTAATGAATATTAATCAAACTATTATATTGCATTCAACAATAAGTAAACAAAAGGTTAGTAGTAATTTTTTTTTATTTGTCACTTGATCAATCATTTGTTGCCTAGGAATGACAACGGGCCGGGCTCGGGACGGGTATTGGTATTCCCGTCTCCGAAACTAATAGCTAAAACCGTCCTCGCAACCGTCCCGATCCCCGTCGGGGATCTTATCGGGGATCCCCATCGGGTCCCCGCGGTTTCCCCAATCCCCGTTGGAGAACCCGTTAAGGGTAAAAATCTTCTTTTTCGTTGTTGGTTATAACCGAACCCAAACCTGAAACCGAACCCCGAAACCAATCTGAAAAAAATTACAATATGCTAATTTTCACAATTAAAAGTAAATTACAATTTTACTAAAGGGCAAATTGCATGAAAAAGTAACGTATCTTAACTTGATTCCTATTTTGGGTGACGTACTTTCAAAACTTCCATTTTGGTACATATGATGTAAAGTTTTAAACATTTAAGTACCCGGGTAACCACTTGAAGACTAATTTTAGATTAAAAAAAACTAATTTTAGATTTAAAAAAATCCACGTCACTGACCACGTCAGCAAATAATATCGAGTTGGATACCACATCACTCGCCACATCAGCATGATAATCGGTTAATACTTCAACCAGTTACCCAGGTACTTAAATGTTTAAAACTTTACATCTTAGGTACTAAAATGGAAGTTAGTACGCTACCCAAAATAGAAATCAAGTTAAAGTACGTTACTTTTTCATGCAATTTGCCATTTACTAAAGATGTAAGTTTAAATGTCCCAAACATAATCGAACCAATTACAGACAATGTATTAGATTACAATATAAAACTAAACAGAAATTCAAACATCATACAACTAAAATCACGATTTTAGACAAATAAACTAGACTTTTTGGTGAGCTTTATTTGGGTTGTTGAGGTAAAGTGGATAAAAGTGTTTTAAATTTTAATGTTATTATTTTCTTTTAGTGATAATATATATATATATATATATATATATGGAGGCACATTCAAATGAAAACCGTGCATTTCTAAGAAACCGTGTAAACTAACTTCGACTAATAGAAAGATTCTATTTTTTTCTAATTAAATTTAATCAATAAGAGTATTTCGGTCATTTACAATATTTTCTATTAAATATGGAAATTATTAATAAATCTTAATTAAAAAACGTAATAAAGAAAATTTTATAAATGGTAACATTTAAATATTTAATTATATTATAATACTAAAAATTTGAGCTTGATATATTGTGATGCGATTGAATCTGCTGGTGAATCTTGAAGATTGTAAGGCATAATGGAATGAATTCATCAAATCAGCATTGAAATAAAAAAAATTAATGTACATGAAACAATTTTCATGAACGTGAAACTGGTTCATGTCGTAATTGAACAATGAGTAGTGAACTGGTTTCATGGTGAACCCCGTTTCATTGATGGTGTAGTTGATCCATTTAGTAGGTGAAATGAAAAATGAAACGGGTACATAATGTATTTGGTTCATCATGAAATAATTGCATGATGAAACGGGTACATGATGAATCTGCTCCAGAATCTTGAAGATTGTAAGACTTAAAAGAATGAATTCACCAAATCATGAGTGAAATAAGAAAATTAATATACATGAAACATGTTTCATGAAGGTGAAACTGGTTCATGACGTAAATGAACAATGAGTAGTGAAACGGGTGCATAATGTATTTGGTTCGTTATGAAATAATTGCATGATGAAACGAGTTCATGATGAATCTGCTCCAGAATCTTGAAGATTGTAATTTGCTCCAGAATCTTGAAGATTGTAATTTGCTCCAGAATCTTGAAGATTGTAAGGCTTAAAGGAATGAATTCATCAAATCATGAGTGAAATAAAAATATTAATGTATATGAAACAGGTTTCATGAAGGTGAAATAGATTCATGAGATGTTAGAGAATATGTATTTTGTTTATAATTTTGCCCTATTTGCTGATATAAAAATAAAATTTTAATATATATATATATATATATATTTTTTTTTTAATTTCCTATAATAAATTAAACTAACCTTGACCATCGATCAAGAAAATGGATGGATGAGATTAGTTTACACTGTTTACACAAATGGAGACGGTTTCATTTGATCGCTCCTCTATATGTATGTATGTATATAAATTAAAATTTATATATATACATATATATTAATATTGGGTCGGGCTAGGCCGGTGATCACCGTCCCCGTTAGAATCCCCGAATTCGTCCCCGCCCCGTCCCCGATAAGATGTCCCCGAACCCGGCCCGAAATTTTCGGTTTTCACCATCGGTTTCGGTTTTTTTTTGTTGCCATTCCTATTGTTGCCCCTCAGTGCACATCTCATACATTGCCCATCCCACATGCTATGTTGCACCAATGAGTATGTGCTAATTTGATGTAGCTAATTTTTAGTAACTTACCACTATTGCCTCGTCTCCCTAATTAGTATAATGTCGCACCAGTTTGTACTGTCCTGCATACCAAAGTTGTATCAAAAGTCGTGGTTGTGGAAATTGATATCCCGTACTTTCAAGGTCAAGTTTTCTAACAACAACCGGATCTCTTGGACTTGAGGATGCAACCTTCCACCCGCAAGAAACTCATGAACTTCCCCATTCACTTCAATTAAGCTACATCCCGGGTTCTTTTCTATCCCTTTTTCTTTCATTAGCATCCTCTCTTGTATCGCCATCTCGAAATCACCTTCACCTGCATAAACGTTCGACAAAAGCACATGGCCACAGCTCTCGTCCACACCCAAATCAAGCAGATTCCTTGAAGCCCATTCTCCCATTTTTATGTCTCCATAGCTCCTACAAGATGACAGAAGAGATCCCCATATGACAGCATCTGGTTTCATGGGCATACTTTTTATGACCATTTCTGCTTCTCTAAGTAACCCTGCTCTTCCTAGCACATCTATGATGCAACCATAGTGCTTAATTGACGGTTTGATGTTGTATTTTTTGGTCATTAAAGAGAAATAGTATTTGGCTTTTTTGACCAATCTAGAGTGACTACATGCCATTAGAACACTGATGAAACTTACATCATCAGGCTTAAATTCGGACGACTCTAACCTGGAGAATAACTCGATTGCTTCATTCTCACGCCCGTGGATTGCAAGACCCATGATCATTGAGTTCCAACACGACAATCCTTTTGTAGAGGCTGATTCGAACACTTGCCATGCCTTTTCAATGCTCCCACATTTGCAATACATGTTGATGATTGCAGTAACCATAATCACATTCAACTCGATTCTGTTCTTTTTTATGTAATCATGAATCCATTCCCCTTGATTCAATGCTGCTAAGTGCGCAGAAGCATTTAACAAACTCACAAGCGTAAACTCGTTTGGCTTGATCTTTTCCGCTTGCATAATGCTAAAAAAACTCAAGGCCTCAACCCAATTCCCGGTCCTTACATACCCACTTATCATATTGTTCCAAGAAACAGAACTTCTCTGAGGCATATTATCGAACAGGTCCCGTGCATTTTCTACTTTCCCAAATTTAGCAAGAGATAAGATCATTGAATTCCAAGCAACCACATCCATATCTTCACCATCTCTAAACAGTTCAAGTGCTTCACCAAAACACCCACAATTCGCATACATGTGTACAATGCTATTACGTATATAAACATCAAATTGTAAACCTAGTTTCAGAATTCTACCATGAAGCTGAGCTCCATCTCGTGCCAAACCAAGTTCAGCATAAGCCTTGAAAACCGAAGGGTAAGTGCGTCTTTCTGGCTCCACAGATAATTGAATCAACATGTCAATAAACAAAGATACTGCCATGCGAGGGTTCGAGCTCCTGGAGAAGCCTCTAATGATAGTATTCCAAATAAAAAGATTAGGATTCTGAATTTGATCGAAGAGCATGAGAGCATAATTGATATCCGCCGCAGGGGAGGTGGCTGCAAAGGCCAAGAGACGAGAGGCGGCAATGGTGTCCTTGATTAAGCCGGTCTTGATGATTTGGGCATGGATTATTTGAAGATCTTTAATGGTGGAGCATTTGGTTTGTATGATTGAAAGGCAAGGTTGATCTAATATGAACTTGGATATGGAGGTTGAAGGAGATGGTAATGGAGTCAATGTGCATAAGCAAGGCGCCATTTTCAGTTTCTTTTTTCTGGTTTATTTTACTGCTAGCCTTGGGTAGGCTTAGGCTGTGTGTATAGTTTCCATCGAGCATTACTTGCTTGTACAGTACAATTCTGTACTGCATCGTCTACCAATTAACAACAACATGGTTGCCAAAAATTTGGATTTTTGGTTACCATAGTGAAATTAATTGAGTTCAAATCTGATGTTTTTTAGTTGAAACCAAATAACCCTATCAAACCAATACGAATAGAGGCTTGTTTATGTTCGTTCGTTTAACTTAACCGAACGAACACGAACGGTAAACGAACGAAAATTTTTGTGTTTGTGTTCGTTCGGTTAGAAATCACGTGTGTTCGTGTTCGTTTATGTTTGTTTATTAACATATTAAATGAACGTAAGCGAACAGGGCTAAACGAACAACCTTAAACGAACATAAACAAACGAACATCATTACCTGTCATTCAATTAACTATTACGCACCAATTATCTGGAGGCTAGGATTTTTGAGGGAAAGTGAAAAGATAAAAATTTCAAATCAGACAAAATGATGATAAAATTTAAAATTCTAAATAAATTCCAACAAGTTAAAACTTAAATAAATATTATTTGAATTCAAACTAAATAAATAAAAGATTATATATTAAATTTAATATTTAAACGAACATGAACGAACATGAGGTTTTAAATGATATAAAAAATAATGTTTAATTTTTCAGTTAATAGTGTAAAGGTTTTGAGTTTTAGAGGCTGTTTACTCAAACATTTATCTGATAAACACTTACTGGTAAGATTTGACATTATTACTTACCTTGCTGACTAAAATTTGTGCTCCATCAAAATGACATCTTATGCAACAATTTACCCATTAAACACTAGCCGGGTAAGAGTCCTCACTTTTACTTACAAAGGTAAGACTTCTGATCCTTACGTGTAAGATTCCCGATTCTTGTTATGTTCATCCGGTAAGGCAATATGATTTGTTAGTACTTGGTAAACGACTCCTTAGTCTTCCATTAACAAATTTTCTCTAAAATTTAATATTAGATCATAGGAAAAAGAACAAAAAAAAGTTGTGTGTGTATCATTGGATCTATAAATTTTTGTAATATTATATTTCGATCCCTCAGACTACAACGGTCGTGTTCCGACCTTGAATAGCTGATGGCTGATAAGGTAGTTGATGAACTAAATACGTTTGGAAAAAATTAGCTGATAAACTACTTGAAAAATGTAAAATGACCAAAAAGACATCTTTAAAAACAAATAAATTTAACATTTCATAATATATTTAAAGCTATTCACTAGTAATATAATATGTTAATTAATACAAATTAGATGATAAAGAAATTAAATGATGATATAGTTAATCAATAGATTTCAATTTGATGTATTCTTGTTATTTTATATATAATATTAAAAAAATTGGATTTGTATAATCAGATACAAATTTTAGAAATTATTTATATTAAATGAAAATTTTAAATAACGAATTACATATAATAAAAATAAAAATAAAAATAAAGGTAATCAAATATTTTAGAAAAATATTTAACAAAGTTCATTTATTTATAAAACAAAAACATATATAACTATAATTTTTATATAATTTATAAAGACATTTTTAAAATTATTATATTTGTTTTTTGACGATTAAATGTATCGAACAATAATAATATAAAAATAATTTATTAAATTTATAATAATTCTAAATAATCAATAATTAATACTAATGAATAATTTATAATTAAAATTAATTATAATAAAATTAGTATTAATCAGTAACTAAAATTAATTATTAACTGGTATTTAAAATTAATTTAATATTAATTAAAAATTAGTAATTAAAATTAATATTAATTAATAATAATATATAACAATTAGAGGCCGTTTACCAAATGTTTATTCGAGTAAAGGGCCGTTTACCAAACACTTACCCGGTAAGCATTTACCGGTAAATTTAACATTATCATTTACTTATCGGATAAGATTTTAGTCCATCAAAACGGTATCGTATGCAACAATTTACCCGATAAACGCTTACCGTGGTAAGAGTCATCGTTTTCACTTACCGGATAAGACTCTTGGTCCTTGTATCACTCTTACCGGGTAAGATTCTTAATCCTTATCATATTCATCCGGTAAGGTAAAATGACTTGGTGTTCACTTACTCGAATAAGCGTTTGGTAAACGACCCCTAAGTGAACATCAAATCATATTACCTTACCAGATGAATATAGTAAGGAAGGATCAAGAATCTTACCCGGTAAGAGCGAGACAAGAATCAAGAGTCTTACCCGGTAAGTGAGGCGACGACTCTTACCACGGTAAGCACTTACCAGGAAAATTGTTATATACGATATCATTTTGGTGGACTAAAATCTTACGCGATAAGTAAATGTTAATGTTAAATTTTACCGGTAAACACTTACCGGGTAAATGTTTGGTAAACGGCCCCTTAATATTAATCAGCATTATTGGAAAAAAAATGTCAAAGAACTCCTAAAAAGCTAATCCAACTAGTGTTTTGTTAAGCTAAACATATACTCAGAAACTAAGTTAGCCAAATGCCGCTAACCTAACGGGATCAATGTATACCGAATTTATCTTTCTTTATTAACCTGGATATCCAACCCGCTATGCGAGCCGACTAATCTCAGGGCGACCACCTGCTTTGCAGATAACCCGGAGTCACCGCATTTAAACCTCCATGGCCACAAAGTGTTTTTTATTCCTCATTGGATTTGAACCTGGGACCTCCTGATACTTTTGACATTTGAACCCAAGCTCAAACCAATCAGACACCACCCGTGTGGTTTACCAAATTTATCTTTCACATGCCAGCTCGGGGTTGCTAGTTATAAACCCCTTTTTGCAAAAAAGAAAAAAGAAGTAATTCCCAAAAATCAACCGTCCAATTGATGGTTCAAATCAGGCTTCATTTCAATATAACTAAGAACAAGTAGTAAAGCAGCAAGAAATAGCAAAATGCAAGCAAGGTAAATACATAGATTCAAATATAACTTGGAAAGGTAGTTAACATAGCAAAAGGCTCCTTGTAACAAAGGAAACACAACCCTGCTTCTAAAAGACAAATATTCGAACACAATATGGTATCATCTGTCTCCAAATTTATTTCTAGAGGCTCAAAATTCGAAATACGAAACAAACCAAACAAGCCTGGTATGTTCCACTCTGAGTTGGGATATACACGGACCTGACCTGACCTGGCGTCTATCCCTAAGAGTAGAACGGTTTACTTAATGACCACCGGCTTGTGCAAAGTGTGCGAAAAGAAAAGATAGTTTGCTCAAAAATTTTGCGGAACTTGAACCATGTCCAATTGATTCTAGAAGGATCCCAAATAAGATATCTCGAACCAAGTTAAAGCACACCATCCTGATCACAAGTTCTTGAGAGCCGAATCTTGGGTTGCTTTTGCTGTTGGTGTTAATCTTGCTAAAAGGGCCTTGTTATGGCAGTGATCGGCATCAACAAAGTAGAAGTTCCCGTTGGCCTTGAACGTCACGTAAGGTCTGTTAGTGTCAGGTAGCCTGATATCAGAAAACTTGATGGTCTTAGGAACAAAACTCGCTAGCCATGTCATCATGTCTACCTCGAAGGTGTCTGAACCAGGCCGCCATCTGAGCCGGTGAATATAAGGGCTCACGAACCAATGAAGGGCTGCAGTTGTGGAGGCACTCAAGAATATAACAGAGGATGCGACTGCACCTTTTATTATCACATTCATGTCGGGTGAGGTCATGAAGGTTATGACGGGTCCTAAAGATACAGATAGGCAGCAGGTGGATAGAGAAAGAAGCTTAACTTTCTTGATGGTGTTTGAAATCGGCCCATAATAAACCACTCCTGAATCTTTATCATCTTTCCCTGAATCGACACCTTTAGAAGGTCCAATGGTGATCTTGCTGCTATCTTCTGTGGCAGAGGACTGAGATGCCCATCTCCTCTGCACAACCGAAAGATGTTTTGCAGGGTTGAAGTAGGGTGCGAGAGTCTTCTGAGCCTGCCATGCCCGGAATCTGTGCGGGTAGAAATCTGAACAAGTTGAAAAATGTGGGTGAAGATACAAACTTATGCATACCGATATATAAGCATAATACTGAATTAACAGTTTCCTTAGGGTGCGTTTGGTATGTGGGGCAAGACAGAACAAAGTGCGACAATACACTTGGACATGCCACGGACTGAGTGGACAGGACAAAATGCATTTTTCCCCACCAAAGTAGATGGAACAAAGATCAGGGAGATTGGACAAGATTGGTAATTACTAAACTACCCATATCAAATTAAACCGCTAAAACCTTCCACAATTCTTTCACTCGCCTATCTCAATCTCTTGCTTGTCCAGTCCGGTCATGTCCCGTCTTGTCTAAGTACCAAACGCATCTTTGAAGTACATTCCTTCTTAGGATCTCCCATAATTTTGATTCTAAAGTTCAAATTATGTACTTGCTTATTATCATCACCACAAAAAATTGATAACTTTTATTTGGGTCTACAAGATTCTCCTATCTTGTCATTAATACTAAGCATTTAAGGCCTTAGATAATAATCAATCATTTATGCTAAAATTTTATGTCTAATCAAACATAATTTTTATGGGATGGAGGGAGTACAATAGAAGAGTACTCAAAACATAGTTGCTAATTTTTTGGCTAATTGTAGAAGAATCAATGTAATTTTTAACTATATGCACATGTCTTAATAGATAAGAACGAGCACCTGCAAATTGGAGGATCATATATGTACATAAGTAATGAATTGATCACATATGAGACTTAAACAATGTGAGATCCATGTTACAGTACGGACTTCAGTTTCATAAAGATTCTAACATGATTATGTAGATGGTCGCCCGTCATACACAAAAACTAGAAGTCAAGACATGAGATAATGCAAGAAATGAAACGATATATTTGCATTTCACAAAGCGGTTTGGCATGTGAGATGCTAAGAAACCTTCACTATATATATATATATATATATGTGTGTGTGTGTGTGTGTGTGTGTGTGTATATAAGTCATTCTTTCTTCCTTAGTGATATCATTCAGTATGAAGATATCTATGGCACCCGAGGAATGCATTTTGCATGCCAAACAAGACACACAAATTACCTACATGACCAAAAACAATCATGCAGTTGAAATCTGGATACTATCAAAGAAATTTTTTAACTCTGTTCGGCTGGAAAAATGAAGAATAAACATTTAAAGGCCAAGCACGATTTGACACCCGAGTTCTCCTTCTGCTTGTGATTCAGAAATCCGACCATGATAGATCAACTCATATAAGACTTACGGACAGCTCAAACAAAGACATTCTGCATCAAAACTTTCATCATCAATTCATGGTGTTTGATTCATGTTAGCCTAGAGTTATGATGACTATATAAATATGACATACATAAGTTGATAATATCATATCAGTAACTAATATTGCTTTACAAAACCAACAAAAGAAACAGATTAAAAGACCTGAATAATTTCATTGAATCTAACAAGCCTGTGCCCACCTTAAACAGGTTATCACAGAAATATAGGTTTAACCAAGTCTGTGATCATTGGTTTGCTGCAGACGATATCTTCTTAACAATGATCTACAATGTATAACCTAAATTCCCTCATTCGCTGTCTAAACCTCTACAAATTGCACCCTTTTCCTGGTCTAACCCTAAATCTAAAGTAACTACGCAAATATTCATGTTACTAAACTTTTCAATCAGATTACTGAGTATAACTTGTCAGATTCAGGTTCCTCGATACTAAACCACAGAGGCTCAAAAGTATAACAACAATTTGGGGCTGATTGGTTTGTATCAACAACGATCCTAATCACAAAAAATAATGGTTTGACCCGTACTAGCAAAGAATTATTATGTACATACACAGATAAAAAAAGCAAGAGGGTAAAAAATTTCAACCAAGAGTTCAATCAGAAACAAAACTGTAACAGAAATGAAGAAAAGTTACAGAAACCTGTGTGAATTTTAGGGGAACTCAGATGGCGGCGTGTTTGAGATCGAACCAGTTGAAGAAGAATCGATCTTGCCATTTCCTGTGAATCAAAACACTCTCAACTCAAAATCTCTCTCACAGTCCGATTGAATGTTCTTTCTTGCAAGAGTTATTTAGGGTTTTGGGAATTGTAGAAGGGTTTTCGTTCATCAATCAAAGGATTTCAATTTATTTATGAAACCCAAATCGGGCATTTGGTCTAGTGGTATGATTCTCGCTTAGGGTGCGAGAGGTCCCGAGTTCAATTCTCGGAATGCCCCCATACATTTTAATTTCTAATTTTTTATTTTTTTTAATAGTTTTAAATAATTATCATTTTTACTTCATTTAAATACTTAATCGACGTCGTTTAAAACGATTGTAAATGAAACTATGTCAAATCAGGCATTTTGTCCTTTTTAATAGCATACCAAACAAATAGGTTTGAATATATTATACCTTTGATCATTCTGGTTATCACTCGCTTTCAAGTTTCATCTGTATTTTAAACCAATTAGTCTTTTTTACTGTGCGTTGCACGGTGACGAATTTGGTTTATTTAAAAATTATATAAAAAAATTAAGATGAAAGTGATTCGTTGATTTACTTAGGATAAAATGCAAATGTATTTCGTTTAGAGTGTGGGCTATAAAAACAGAACTCATATACTCGCGTCATTTTGCTTCATTGTATTCTCATCAATGTGGATAACCAAATTCAATATCAATAGAAGTAATTATAAATACTCAAATATCACAATACCATATAATCATCTTCGGTTCTTCTATTATTTTGATGATATTTGACATTGAGATATATTGATTTTATTAATGGTATATATGTTTATTTAATTTTTTTTTTATATAGATTAACATAATAAAAGGGTTGGCCAAATTGAACGGATTTCATTAGTTTGGAGGGTCAGTCAAAATGAGTCAACAGCATGGGTTTAGATGATCAGTTTAAGGGAGCCAACCCCATTAGTTGTCACAAAGGCATCTCAACCACTTTTCATATACATATCATTCATTATCAATCTTTCATATCTCCATCAATATGAGATTAAAAAAAAAACTCAACCACAATTCAAGAAACAAAGATTGCTCAACTATTTGGGTGCAACATCAATCTTGTGTTTGTTTACTTTTATACTTTAATTTATTTTTAACTTTGTGTTTTGCATGATATTTTAACTGTGTTTCGCACTATAATTTTACCATTTGGTTGGTTTTGATTCCACCGATGGTTATAGATTTCAAAACATCCATCACTTCTTTATATATCATTCATCTTCTTCCAAATTATCATTTTTCCATCAATGTGAGATGATGAAACTCAATCTTATTTCAAGATAATTGATAGTTTTGTGAAATGAATAATTTGTTTTCAACTTTGGGATGCTCCTAAGTTTTTTTATTTTTTTGAAGTATATAATATTTATATACGGCAAATGCAACAAATAAACTCACACACCCTCCTCACCTATGGTGAGGTTTGAACCCCTGACCTCCTAGAAGGCGAAAAACTACGATACCGCTAGGCCAAAGGCCCTTTGGTGGGATGCTCCTAAGTTATTTGTGAAGTTTTTGAAGATTATTTATGATTGCACTTTAAGATTCTTCGGGTCTAAGTTCGTCATATCTGATCAATTTTTAGAGCGGGTTTCTTTTATTCACAGTCATTTGAAATTCTGGAGCGAGAATAAACTTGAAAATAAGTTAGAGGGAAATGGCTATCTCAATGAAGAAAAAGTATGCCAAGTATTGGGGAAAAATGGAAGATTTGAACCCGTTTCTGCTTGTGGCTATAGTGTGCTAATCCTAGATTAAAAGAGTTGTCGATTCCTCAGAAAACAAAACCGAAACTGACAAATATCTCATTGAAGCTTGTGAAACTACGTATCAGGTTTGCATTTTTGTTTTCATTATGAGTTTCTAATATGTTTCTAATTGTTGCATTTTTGTTTTAACTTTATTTTGTATTGCTCTTACAACATGATTTTGATGTGTTGAAGTGGTGGAAAAAGAACGCGAGTAGGTTTAAGATTCTTTCCATGATTGCACATGATGTATTTGTTATGTCTATATCGACCGTTGCATCAGAATCGGTTTCTACCGATGGCCATGTTATCGATCCATATAGGAGTTGTTTAACTTCTAAAGCAGTACAAGCATTAATTTGTACCCAAAATTGGATCCGACAAACAACATCAATTGATGTTGAGGGCACAAATGACGAAGTTAAAGCGTTGAAAGCTAGTAAGTAAATGTGTGCCCATGTATAATATATTTTCGTTTATTTTATAAGTGTTTAGTCATGACATATTAATTTACATTTTTTTTAATTTTGTAGAAATGTTGGTTGGAGATGGAGAAATTAGAGTGGACTGAGTTGTTGTGGACTTCCGGTCTTGAGGTTGCAGACAATATTTCTATTATTTAGGTGGCGTTTGTTTTTTAAGAGGTGCTTAAGTCTGAAGTCTGAATTCACTTATAAATTTTAAGAGGTGGTGCTGAAGTCTGAAATCTGAATCAGTCAGACTGTTTGTTTTTACATCTGAAATCTGAAATCTGAATCATTGAAATCTAAGCTTTCTTTGCAAGCATTGGAAACTCTAAAAGCAATTAAGAGGTTTTAAGTGAAAATGTTACCTCTAAATAATTCAGACATAATCAGAGCTTTTAAGCTCTTAATTGAAAAAAAAACAAACACACTTAATACCCTAAGGTCTGTCCGATTCAGACATAAGAGGGTATTAAGTGTTTTTTAGGTAAAAACAAACAGGGCCTTAGTTTTTAGTAGCTTAATGTTTCTACTTTCCACTTCCCAATATGTATGGGTGAGACTTGACAATGATAATTGTATGTTTTTAGTTACTTTTTTTAGTACACTAATGATTGAACGGATGAAATTAAGTATTTTGAAATATTATATCAATTATTATAAATCGGATTTAAAACATTGGATGGATCCGATCAGATCGTCCATTGGATTTCAGATGGATCCAATCCGATTAATATTGGTTGGGTCCAATCCGATCCAATGGATATGCAATAAGGAAATCCAATGGATAGAATTGAACAGATCTAATCATCCATTGGATTGGATTGGATCGATTGAACAAATCCAACATCCAATGAATGATTGGATCGGTTCGGTTCTCATCACATCCATTGGATGTCAACCGATGAACAACCCTACAAATGAACTAAAAGCAACCACCACTATTAATCATTTCGTTATTAAAAAATAAAATAACAAAATGAAAACCAAATATATAGGAGAGTTAAAAAAAGAATTCTAAAAATTCAATTTAATTAATGGTTTCACATATCAATGTCATAACATATAAATATATTTATATACATAAACAAATGTAAAACGTCGTAAACAAACATAAAATAAACGAACGTAAAATGAACGAAAGAGACCATTGTTCATGTTCGTTCATTTAATCAAACTAACAAAAACATGTGTTCATATTCCTTCTTTATTAAATAAACGAACTTCTCGCCACAAGATTTACGAACGGTATGGTAAACATTCGGTTCGTTTACGACACTATATATCATTGTTGATCCCACAATGATCAAGTAACACTGTATCTAAACAATCAAGAACAACAATTAAAGTTCAAATTATCATGTCATTGATTGTTTCTCTCTCTATAACATGTTTCTCTCTCTAAAATATTACAATATGAGTTCTTACTAACAACTAAACTAACAAGAACTATTTATATGATTGACTAATTCATAGCTGATGTTAAAGCATGCCATTTTAACTTATAAAGCATATGACACGTTTAAAGAGAATTGAGGGGGAGTAAAATTTTCATTCCCCCCAATTGGATTGAGTTTGAGTGAGAACGAGAGTTAAGATGAGAAACGTAGGAAGAGATCTCCATTATTGGATGAACATTAGGATGAGATGCATCAAGATACACCGGATCAAACCCTGTATCAAGTGCGATTCATGGGTGAGTTTGAGATTAAAGGTGATCAAGGGTCTAGATCTTTTCTCATGCTTCTTACCTTAACTCTTCTTCTCGCACGATCTTTCGCTCCCTCAATTTGGTCATGTATAAAAATTAATGGGTTTGGGATAATTGACTCATTCTCAAATAAAACAGCATTTCCATTATCATTCTCATTCCTTACCCCTCAATACCTTTAACCAAACATTCCCTAAGTTCTTTGATGTAATGACATGCAATCATCAAATTGTTTGGAACCTATAATATTAAATTTTTCATTGCATTGTGGTTATGCTGGTATAGAATAAGATGTGCGTCATGAAGGTAACACTAATAATGTGATGGCATAGTTACATGAAATCTTGAAAACAGATCTCATATAGACACAACTTCCATGTGAATGAATCATGTCACGATTTGAAAGAAGGGAAACTTCCACAATCCGTTCGACGTACAACAATGTGTTGAACTACTTCAACAAGTCTGTACGTAAGATATCCTGTTGTTTAGGTCATGTACAAAGGATATTTTATATGAACCTTATTAACTAAAAGTGGAAAATTGTGGGGTGTTACCAAAGTTTAAATAGCACCAAAAAAAATCCAAAAAAAATATTCACATATGGTATAAAAAGAGAAAACTAGAAAATGGGATCAAAATGATAATTTTATTACCTTTGGTGCCTAAAAGCAAATATTGATAATAACAGGGGTCTTTTTACATTTACTTAAAGTTGTGGGACCAAACTGTAAACTTTTGGTGTCTTTGAGTCGTCAAGAAATTGATTGAAGCGACAAACCTCTACGGCTTCTAACACCAAACTCCTCTCAGTAACTCGCCGGCCATACACTTTCTCCGATTTTCAACGGCGGTCAGTAGTTTTTACGCTGACGGCGTAGTGACTGTGGCGTATCTCCCCCTGTATGCTTGCTCTGGAGCAGTGACGAAAGATTGCAAGGATGAGTTGACACATCTCTCTCTATCTCATCCTGCTGATTTATCCTTCAAATAATCATACTGGTGCGAATCTCTTTCTATATGTTCTGAAAGCTCTTGTATGATCCGCAGGCGTGTTTACTTGTGTAATTATCAGTTCAATTTGAGTTACAAATGGCAGTAAACATGACAGTATAAGTCGAACAAGTTTGTGCACAATTACGACGCTATATTCGGTATCAAGTAAATAGATTACGATAATTTTGGTTTGTTTTTTCAAATAGTTGCTGTAATCATTGATAGTAGATATATTTGTTATTTATGGATGATGTATATTTTCCTAATCATACAATTCTCTAGGTTTAGAGTTTGATTGTGCAACCTCCTCTATATATACGGGAATGGTATAGAGCCCAAGACAGGGACTCTTTTACCAAATTACAATCATGTTAATTTTAACCGGTGAAGATCTCTATGACAAGTTGTTAATTATTGTGCTCTTGTTGTAAGAAAGGCTACTATTTTGTTGGTATGATTTTTATTTCTAGTTTTTAGTTTTTTTTTTTTGTATCAACAAGAAGGAAATGGAAGAACAACTGATATTGGATATTGGAGATGATGGAATAGAGAAGATGGAGGAAAATAATGCCGCCACTGTGGATGATATTGGGCGTCAAGTAGATGATCTATTCACCAAGGTTGAGCAGGTGAGACATGGATCTTTTCTTACTTGATCTACAAGTATGTTGAATCGTGTAATTTGTATCACTTGCATTTTATGCTGTTTTCTGTTGGTTCAATTTAATTATGTCTATGCTTGTGTCTGTTTTCTTTGGGTCCAAAAATATTGTGTTGCTATGTATACCCCGGCCTCCAAGTGATTGAATATAATGCCTCTTTGATTATTGATATTGTTGGTGAGGGGTTTTGATTTGTTTGTCATCTTATGGTGCTTGTGAAGTTATTGTTTTACTTATCTACTGTTGCCTTTCATCCCTTTAGACCCTTTTGATCTTATGAGAAGAAGCACAATATGTCAATCTGGGTTTTGGGGTTAAAAGGGCCTGAACTTTTACTTTTATGTGATATGATTTTTGTGATTTCAACGAGAATATGTGAAACATGTTTAACTCTGTAGACAAATACAATGAAAGGAAACATGTTGGTGTTAATCTTTCAAAAATCTGGACCAATTTTGGAAATGAACATTGCATAAGACTTCAAAAATTAGAATGTATTACTTTTCTTGGAACGGAGAGACTGTTTATCCTTTTTACACTTTGTCACAAATCCAAGTAATGTACTTTTGATGGGTATGGCTGCCTTTTTTCTACTACTTTTGGTGATCCTTCACATCAAGACTCAACAGGATGCCATTTGATTAGCAATTCTGGCCTGGTTCATGTAAGCGGAACTAGAAACTTGTAATTGCTACTGTGGGTTCTTGGAATCTTATTCCCTCTATGCTTGCTTGCAGCTTGAGCAAAGAGTAAATGAGGTTGAGCAGTTCTACTTGAATTTAAGCAAAAAACAATCCAGTGCTTCTCAGAAAAGCTCGCTTGTGAAGGATAAAGACAAGGTAAAGCATATTCCAGGATTTAAGAAACATCAACAGGATGCAGCACGTAGAGAGGCAGCTGCTGCTAAGAGAATGCAGGAGATTATGCGCCAATTTGGCTCAGTTCTGCGGCAGGTTATAAGCTTTATCTGATAGGTTCCTTCGGATGATATAAATAATTTACCAGGATGAAGTTCTTTTACTGTCATTTTATGTTTACTTTTACCTCTGAACCTTGTGTTTACTAAAACTATCATCTTTAAGCAATCTCCTCTATGTTCTGGCAAAATTTAAGTGTTGTCCGTTATGATGATCTCACAACTATATCACATTTATATTTTATTTGCCAATCATGTTATACTAACTGGATCTTAGATTGCAACATGACAAATCCATTAATTCAAACATAAAAGTCTATAACTTCAAACAGCTCCATACTCCATTAAACTATTTTTGCTACATTTTTTGTGGTTCAATGGGGCAGTTGAGTCAGCCATGTCCCCTGACAGCATCTTGATCCTTATCCAATTTCTGAGCCAATTTCGGTCCAATATATATTTATTAAACTATCGTTGTGGCAATGGTGTGGGAAGTATTACGGAGCCTATAAGTCAAGAATTTAACAGGGTGAAATGAAAGCTTTCCAAGTACTAGCGATGATGCTTTCATACTCTCTTTTTCTTGATTGAGGATACTCTCCTTTATTATTTGTATTTTTGTCATATATGGATCAAGTTAATTTATATGTAAACTCATGTATGCTATAAAAAGAATGCAATATCACCTAATCCAAAGTACATTTTTAAAACAATTAGAGAGTTTTTTGGAGAATGATTGAAAATTCATCCAGTCTTAATTCTATGTAAGGTTTAATCATTGATTCAAATTTGCTGTATGTACATCACATTACAGATCACACAGCACAAGTGGGCCTGGCCATTTATGCAACCTGTAGATGTTGAAGGTCTTGGATTGCGTGACTATTACGAGGTAATGTCCTTCAGTACTTCCTCGATTTTTTTCTTTATGTTTATTCATGTCTCTTGATGTTCTTGTTTGACTGCACCCTCTGATTTTCCCGTACAATCGAATAAACGCATGCCCACCAGAGAGCAATGACCATGGCGCCACTCAACAGAAGTCCTTTGTTTGTCGGAAGATGAATATTAAGACGAAGCTATTAGAAATCTCTAGTGCCCTAGCAATTTGCTTCTTGAATTACTCGACTTAGACATGGTGCTCATTTTTCTTGCAATACCAACACTCATATTTTCAGGGAACTTGATCATTTTCTTTATATAGAGCCCATTTCATTGTCTTCAAGTTTCATGCATCAAAGGTATTTGATCAGTTCAGCTTTGTGAGCTTTTCAATTCAGGTGAAACATTGGTGTTGTTTCATATGAAACACACAGAATAGGTTCACATGTGAAACAAAACATGTCCATATGTTTCATATAAGAAACACACACACATGAACAATAATACCACTTTGAATCATAGTCAAAAATGAAACTCAGTGAATGATTTGGATGGGTTGTTCTCAACATTTATTTGGTTCTCATCTGTTTTTTCCAGTAGGGGAAAAGGTCCAAATGAGAAAGGTAAAAAGGTTAAGAATGTATGAATATATGATCATATGTGAACATTGGTAAAAGGAAACATGGGTTCACATATGCATCTTCAAATAAATGTTTTTGGGTTTACCAATGTTTCACATATGAATCATTTATTCCTATGTTCTTAACCTTTTGGCCTTTCAAATCAGGTGAAACATTGGTTCTCATATGCATCTTCAAGTAATTTTTTTGGGTTTACCAATGTTTCACATATGAATCATTTATTCCTACGTTCTTAACCTTTTGGCCTTTCTTATTTGAACCTCCTTGTTTTCCAATATGTGTGTGTGTGTGGGAGCCCCTCCATATATAATTATGGATGCTACTTTTTATCGTACAAATCTGTATCCATCCATATTTGGTCCGATAGATTTAACTGCTATGCTATATGCAAGGAATTGGTCCATATAGAAACTGAACAAACAAATTGACCAACAGATATTTTATGAGAGCCTAACCAGCCTGACATGGGGAAAATTTTTCTATCCCTGGTCAATCATCCATCCAGGTGAGTTAAGTATTTTTTTGGAAAACCAACTATGAGAGTGGGACATATAGAGAGGAAGAAATGCTGTGAAGGGTGATTGTTGACAGTCATTGCCGTTGTTTTGAGAATCACTGTTTCTTGCATTGGTTTATTAAAGGATGGTGTGTATCAGGTGATCGACAGGCCAATGGACTTCAGTACAATAAAAAATCAAATGGAGGCCAAGGATGGTACTGAATATAAACATGTTTCGGATATATGTTCAGATGTGAGGTTGATTTTTCAGAATGCCATGAAATATAATGACGATAAAAGCGATGTTCATGCGATGGCCAAAACTTTGTTGGAGAAGTTTGAAGAGAAATGGCTTCAATTCTTACCAAGGGTTAATGAAGAGGTAATTGTTAATGTTTGTAAAGCTTTTGAATAGAATTAAGAAGTTAAAACATTTATAAGAAAACTAGAAAAGTGAATGCAATAAATAAGAGGTTTTACATCACTAATTTTGTACTTTGAGGAGATACGTTAGTACTTAATTTGGATACGATCTATTTATGTGGTATGAGCAGGAAAAAAGAAGAGGGGAGGAGGAAGCAGAAGCACAGTTGAACATGCAGCGTGTGCAAGAGGCAGCTCATGCTAAAATGGCTAGGGATCTAAGTAACGAGGTAAAAGAGTTATCTTTTCTCGGAAGTTAAAACATATATTCATACATGAATAATAGCTCTTTCAGAAGTTACACATTTGACGTTTGAAAGGTCATGGTATGATGTGTTGCATAGCTAAGAGTTGAACCAACATTTTTTATATTTCAGCTTTATGAAGCCGATATGCACTTGGAAGGGTTAAGAGAAACAGTGGTTCAGAAATGCAGGTTCTTTTTCATTGTTTTAGCCCTTTACTCTCATTCATGTTTGGATATTAAGACATAAAACCTAAGACAGAGTAAACAATGAACCAAATCCTATATATCAATTCTTATAGGAGCCGGAGTGAGTTCAAAGTTTCATATTACGACTTCATTTTTATATATCCAAGCATGGGAAGGGGGATACATCAAAAAAGTGAAATAAAATGTGAAGATTTGTTGAACCATTATTTTTGTTTGAACATGATTCATTGAATCATTATTAAATTCTGTGTTCAACTATCCTGTAGAGTTCTTCACTGGTTTATGATTTTATTTTAGTACTCCCTCTGTTTAAAAAAATGCAACATTTTCTTTGGTTTATGATCCATAAGTTTTTTTTTTCTTTTTCAAAGAGGGTATTTGATTATTAGTCAAAGAATTTTCATAAACTATGTGCCAAGTCTAACATTGTAATTTTCTTGGGACGGAGTACTTCCTTAGATATTGTTTCTGCCAAGAACAACTTTTCAACTCTTAGCCATGGGTTGCTTTATGATTTGTGAAACATTCTGTAAAATCTATTCAGGAAAATGTCGATTGAAGACAAAAGAAACCTTGGGATAGCTCTCACACAGTTGTGTCCTGAAGATCTTAGCAAGGCACTCGATATTGTAGCTCAGCATAACCCAAGTTTTCATGCAACAGCAGTAGAGGTCGACCTTGACATTGATGCTCAGGTTATCACATAACCTTCACTTTATTTCTAACCACATACATATATTACATCTTCCCATGTTTCCAACCTTAATCTTCACTAGTACACCCACCATACCATGAAAACTACTATGTTTTTCTTTTTCAGATATCTTTTAAAATTGCCAACATTTTCTTCTCTAGAATGATTCCAATTTGAAATTATCAACATTTTACAAATAAAGTTGGCATTGATTTGGGTTTGTAAGATTTCTCTATTTGTAAATAGAGGGTATTCAGATATTTGAAAAATAGTTAAAACAAAACACTTAAACACAGGACGGAGAGAATTAATTAGGCTTTATTCATTTAGTCAATTTTTTTTTTATTAACCTGGATATCCAACCCGCTATGTGAGCCGACTAATCCCTGGGCGACCACCTGCTTTGTAAATAGCCCGGAGGAGTCACCGCATTTGAATCTCCGTGGCCATAAGGGGATTTTTATTCCTCCTTGGATTTGAACCTGAGACCTCCATGTACTTTTGACCTTTGGAGCCAAGCTCAAACCAATCAGGCACCACTCTTGTGGTTACAATTTTCTTTGATTCATCATATTCATTTCGTGGGGCCCACCTCCATTTACCTCTAACAAGGTCTGCAATTCATAACCCTTTTAAACCTGAGGCAAACTCAACCGGCACATAGAGACTAAGCGCTGGAGCGTATAGGTTGCTAGTTTGAGTCTCGTGGGGCACTGGGATTTTACAGGCTTTCAACTTTAGGGCCACATGCAAGCCGGCCAGGACACTCGAGGTTACCAAAAAAAATTGTTACTTTTATCATTTTGAAATGAAAGGAAAACGAGTGTAACTTGAGAGTTGAAAACATAGTTGAACTTAAATTCTTTGTTCTGGTAATTTATACATAACCACTGTATTATTACATGTTGTTCAGAGTGAATCTACTCTCTGGAGGTTAAGATATTTTGTGAAAGATGCTCTACAAGGTCATAGCAAGGATGATGATGAAGGTAACGGGCACTTAATCCCCACCAAACCGACAAACACAACCCGCACCATCGCCTCCAAACGGAAAAAACAGATATGTAATGCCCTTGCCAGGACTGCAAAGAAAAGGAACCAGAAATGCTCTTCTTAGAAACGGTGAACACGCATAACAAGGTTAGCCGTCGTTCTTTACGCAATCCTAGGAAACATGAGAACATGGCTGGCTGACTAAAATCGGTCAGTAGTTGGAGTTTCTTCAATCCGGGCATATGAAGTTGGGTAGTAGTAAGGTTTTGTAACAAGAAGAGGTTCTTCTTGAAAGGTAATCTTTGTATGGATTGTAGAAGATGTTAATGCCATCTTTCTCATTGCTTCCTTCTTGATTCATGCATATCATCAAACATGTCGGACCGGTCCTCCACATTTTGATGGTCTTGTACAAAAAACTAAGGTGCCGTTTACCAAACGCTTATCCGGGTAAGCACTTACCAAGTCACTTCACTTTATCGGATGAATATGGCAAGGACTAAAAATCTTACCCGATAAGAGCTAAAGCAAGAATAGAGACCGAGTGAGGCCGAGGACTCTTACCATGGTTAACGCTTACCGGGATAAATTGTTACATACGATGCGTTTTAGTGAATAAAATCTTACCTGGAAAGTAAGTGATAGTGTTGAATTTTACCGGTAAGTGTTTACCGGGTAAGTGTTTAGGTAAACGGCCCCTAAATGTGTATTATATTATTTATTAATTTTAAAACAAGATTAAAATGAAAATGAAAATCAAACTAACATTTACGTCATTAAGTTAATGTTTTTTGAGATGAGAGAATGTGTATTGATTTGCAAAAGTTACTGTTTTAGAAAAAGTTTGGTGGCTGTATTAAATATTTAATAATATAATTAATGTAAAATTTGTTAAAATGAAAAAATTACTAGAGTTAAAAAAACACTACTCTATTTCGAAAATAACTATAAAAACATTGTTTCATAATCCTGCAAAATAACTGATTAAAAATTTCTACAAAATCTAACTATTTTTTAATTTTAATATTAATTATACTATTAAAATATTTATTGTATTTAATATAAATTTCTAAATATTTGTCATGTCACTTCCAAAACAAATAAAAAATAATATTTAATTTATCTTCTCTATCATTGAAATTTAATTTTGGAGATTTCTTTTCTCGTCTCTCTAAATACGGGGGATGTTTCTTTTTCGTTCTCCTTTTTTTTCTTTCTATTTTAAATGCTTTAGGATTTTGTTAAAGCAAGAAAAACTTTAAAACCTCTATTTTGAAGTTTATGTTGTAGATGCTCTAAGATTCCTAAAGCTGTGTTTGGTACATGGGATGGGACGAGACAGGACATGACAAAATTCATTGTCCCATGTTTGACGCAACATGAGACATAACAAGAACACACTGTCCCATGTTTGGCGCAACATGAAAAATAACAAGAACCCACTGTCCCATGTTTAGCGCAACATGGGACAGAGACAAGGTGGGACAGCATGAAACAAAAGATGTTTTTTCTTGTTCCACCAAAATAGGTGGAACAAGATGAGACAAGAATGAAACAAAAACTAAAATATTACTAATCTACATTAGTTTGATATATAACTTTAATATGATATTTGTTTTAATGGTCATCACCTCTAGTTTTGGTTGACGCCACCATCATCGACGGCCACTGCCACTGACACCTCCTCTTCCACTACAACAACATCCTCCACCACCGTCCACCAAGTCTATCGCCACCTCTACCATAGTCGACCGTCGATCACCACCACCACTACCGCCATTTGCCACCTCCAACTCCTCCTCTACTACAACAATTTCCTTCACTACCATCCATTGCCACCTTTACAACCATCATCGGCAACCGACAACCACCATCGTTGGCCACCTCAAAATCCTCATGACCTCCACAACCACCGTTGGCCACCTCCAACTCCACTACTGCAACAACCTCCTCCATACCATCGGCCACCACTATTCATCGTCACCTCACCTCCAACATAACCATCACCACAACTATATTCACTACATCAGCCACAACTACCTCCTGCACCGTTATCAACAGCCAATACCACCACAATCCACCATCTTTATGTCCTCTATAACCACCGTTGTCCACCAACCACCACTGCTTCTACCTCTATAACCACCGTCCATTGCCACTACTACCGGCAGCCACCACCACCTCCACCATAGTTACCATCAATTATATCAAAGTTTTCATTCAAATTTGGTACCATTATATATGTATGTATTCATTTATATGAAAATTGTGTACAAATATTTATAAATTAAATTATTAAATTATTTATTTTATTTGTGTTAACTATAACTATTATATAACATTTAAAATCATCAAATAACTCTTGAAGGTAGCTTGTCTAGTTCTGTCTCGTCCAGTCCTAATCGTACCAAATACCAGACATACTCTTGTGCTGTCCAGTCATGCTCAGTCCTACCTTCTTGTGTTGTTCAGTCCTGTCCAGTCGTACCTTCTTGTCCTGTTCTGTTCTGTCCAATCATGTCTGCTATACGAAACGCTACCTAATCGATTCACATTAAATGTGTTTTAACATGAATACTGCTATTATAGAGCATCTCCAACAATTATGTTATATTCATTCCGTTCCAAAATAAATGTTCACAATGAAAATGACATACGATTTTAGAAATATCTAATTATTGCACTTTTTATAACTAAATGACACTTTTATCCTCGAAAACATAGAGGGAATTTCTTCATTTCATAATTAAGGGGGTGCTTATTTTTGACTTAATGGGCTTATTCGCAGAGACGTTTTGCCTTGTTTACTTAATGAAAAAAATATCATCTTATTTGCATAACTCATAATGTTCATTTCTCTAGGTTCAACTAGAGATGGCCAAATGGGCCCGGCCCGGCCCGAGACCGCCGGAGGACCGGGACCGACAAAGGACCGGCCCGGGACCGGTAAGGACCGGTTATGGGACCGAAAACCGGGACCGGTTGAGGTTTTTGGTAGTTTCGTGGGACCGGGACCGGGACCGGTTATGGGACCGACTATGGACCGGCCCGGCCCGGCCCGAAAATTCAATTAATTTTATAAATAAATGTATTTTTAAATAATTTTATAATGTATTTGTATAAGAAAACGTAATTTTAATTATATTAAAACGCATTTTTAAAATGTATTTGAGTGACCCAATTGTAAATTTTATAATGTATTAAAAATATATATCATTAAAAAAATAAAATAAAAAATCTTATTTTTTTAATGAATGACCAGTTGGGACCGGGACCGGCGGCCCATAACCGGTTATAAAGTACCTATACCGGTCCTATCATTTTCGACCGGTTACGCCGGGACCGGTTATGAGAATGGTGAGGACCGATTGGGACCGGCCCGGGACCGACCCGGGACCGGTTTTTGGCCATCTCTAGGTTCAACCAACAAAGTTACCTCCCGTACACCTTTATGAAAAAAAGAAGAAAAAACACGCACGACGCCCCTCTTTTTCGCTAATTGCTCCGGTACACAGACCATCGACGTATGACTTCTTTTCATCAACGCCTGACCTCTCTTCCTTCCTGGCAACATTCACTCCATGATGGCCTCACGTATCGATTTCTAGGGATTTCATGGCTTCTATTCTATGGATTTCTTTGAATTTGATGGCTCAAGTTGTATGGACTTGTCATCAATTTATATGGATTTCGTGGCTCCTACATCTATCATATATATATATATATATATATATATATATATTAATCCTTTTCTTTACGGGGCCAAAGGACGATACTCTGGAGGACTGTAAACGAACTGAACGTCAGCGAGAAGTTCGTTTATTTAATAAATGAACGAACGTGAACTATTTTTTTGTTCGTTTAGTTAAATGAACGAACATGAACAAAAGTCTCGTTCGTTCATTTACTGTTCGTTCATTTACTTAGTTAAATTTAATATATAGTCTTTTATTTATTTACTTTGAATTCAAATAATATTTATGCCCGTTCTCTTATGTTGGTTCGTTTATGTTTGTTTAGCATGTTAACGAACGAACATAAACGAAGACGAACACACTGATTTCTAAACGAACGAACACGAACGCAAAGATTTTCGTTCGCTTACCGTTCGTGTTCGTTCGTTTGTTCGGTTAAGTTAAACGAACGAATACAAAGATTTTCGTTCGCTTACTGTTCGTGTTTGTTCGGTTAAGTTAAACGAACGAACATGAACAAGCCTCCGTTCGTGTTCGTTTACAGCCCTAATACTCTATATCTAGATTGATCGGAAACCACCCCTGATTTATTAACAACAATGCATCTCATTCACTCTCTTATGGTTACAGTTACTAATTACTGTAGCCATGAATCTATACTCTATATCTTGTTCCATGAAGTTGCTGAAACTCTAAAAGACACCCATAACTTTGTTGCCAACCTGAAGCAAATGCGCAACCATTTTGATTATTTGAAAGGATGTACGATACTTGGTTGAAGTTAAAAAAACAAAACCGATAATGTCTACTATCCTTCCACAAACACTTTTAACTTGATACCCGATGAATGAGAATTTGAGATGAAGGTTGTTTTCTAACTTTAGCTTTTTTATATCGATCTTGTTTATTCATAAGTTTCTTTTTAACACACACCGATAGATATGTTAAATCTTTGAAGAACTATGATTCTTCCACATCCAGACTTGTGTGCACGACTATTCGAGGCTGGTATGTGCATGGGTATTAGAGCCTATGGACCGTCGTCAAAAGACTCTTCGTCAACCATTGAGCCCTTTGTGGTCATACCAATACTGAGATGGATATCAATGAATTTATGACATTTATGTCTTGATATTCAAATAGTTTTTGTGTTTCAGAAATATCATTCAACTTGAAGAATAAACAACAATTTATCAAACAGAGCTTAATTCATGTTAAGGGTAGATGAGTCATTTCTATCATTCATATTGTTGATTTAAAAAAAAGTAAACAACACCACATTTTTTTATCCAGACATACAAATTCATCCATATTGGACTTAACTGAAAATTTGGTAAACGAGTCACAACCTTGATCTGCAAATTATGCAGGTGATATAGTGTTGTGGGCCCTATAACGCGGTGGAAGCATGCCACTCATTAATCTTTGTTCGAAGCAAGACAAGTTGGCCAAGTCTCTTTAATGACACGTGATGAATACATCGATTTAGATACAATTTTAAGCATAATCCAAAATGTTTATAAGTTTTGGGTATTCAATTTGATTACAAGTTACGTCTTTCTTGTACCCTTGTGCGTATAACCGCCAAAAATACTTTTTTTTTTTACATTTAAGTCTAGATTTATTAAAACCTTTACCTATGAGAT